TTTCCTCCTGCTAGACTAGGATTCACTATTCTCTCCGCCTTTCTTTAATGTGTGGGTGCCTTGAAGGCCAAAGTGCTAGTGAAACCCAGACTGCACCTTAACCAGTAATAAAGCAGAGGTTCATGAAGAAGTTGCTGAAGGAGGTTTTCTAAGACTGGAATCAAGAACAAAGAGCTGTGGCTGTGAACAGAAAATAGGATTTTGTCTTAAAATTGTGACATTTGAATGGAAGGAGGGCAAAAATAGCTGTGAGGCCTGCTGTATAGGGAGCGCTCTGTCTTCGGCACAGCGATAACACCCGCCTGGGCAACCAAGCTTCATCATACTGACAACGATCCGTTCTCAGTACAATAATCCCCTATCGGTGTAGTGAGGTGTGCATGCGTTGGTATTGTCATACCTAACATTATTCAGAAACTGAGAATAGTCTAGGAAATTGAAATGGTTATGTTATACAATTAAGGGAGAGTGTGGTAAGCCATGTTTTAAAGGGTTAGTTCACCCAAAAATGAAAATTCTGTCATTAATTACTCACCCTTGTGTTGTTCGAAACCCGTAAGACCTTCGTTCATCTTCGGAACACAATTTAAGATATTTTTGTTGAAATCTGAGGGCTCTCTGACCCTCCCATAGACAGCAAGGTAACTACCACGTTCAAGGTCCAGAAAAGTACCAAGACGATCATCAAAAAAGTCAGTGTAACATCAGTGGTTCTACTGTAAAGTTACGAAGCTACGAGAATAAATGTTTGCGCAAAGAAAACTAAAATAACAACTTTATTCCACATTTTCGTCTCTACTGCGTCATTTGTGGACCCGCGTTCACGACAGTATCAGTTATTTTCTGGACCTTGAACGTGGTAGTTACCTTGCTGTCTATGGGAGGGTCAGAGAGCCCTCAGATTTAATCAAAAATAAATCTTAAATTGTGTTCCGAAGATGAACGAAGGTCTTACGGGTTTGGAACAACACAAGGGTGAGTAATTAATGACAGAATTTTCATTTTTGGGTGAACTAACCCTTTAAATTTTCCTTCAGCGAATGAACAATGACAAATGATGAAGGAAAACTTTTACGAATGCACGCATACTCACATACAGCTATAGGAACGTGAACTAACCCTTTAAATTTTCCTTCAGCGAATGAACAATGACAAATGATGATGAAGGAAAACTTTTACGAATGCACGCATACTCACATACAGCTATAGGAACATGAAGTCCAGAAATACATCTTGCCAAATGATATTTAGGCCTAAATAAGATTTATATCTGAATTGCATATCAAATTTCCATCCATTTGGATGATTTAGTTTTAAGATAAACTAATAAACTCCTATTTGCAGCTATTAAACTTTATTTAGCACAAAAACAAATAACAATCCACAGAAAACCGGGGCTAAACACAGGAACAAGGAAGTGAATACAAACTAAAAGTCTAGGAAACAAAACAGGAAACAGAAATCGTTACAGTAAGGGGTAACATCGGTAATAGTACAAATAAACTGAATGTGTAAATACACAGTGAGCATGTTTATAGTTTTTAACGACTAAATTTACTGTTTTCACAATGAACCGATTTATGTTGATTTCAAGCAGTTTGATTAAATACATTTTGAGAATATAATTATTTAAATAAAATCAAATAGCACAAATATTTAATAATAAAATGTTATATTTTTTTCCTTATTATTTATTTGTTTTGCTCTAAATTATGTATATTCAGAACATTTGGATATTGGCATTTTGTAATATTATTTGTTGAAGGCAAAGCTTATTATAATTATTAGTTACTGACACAGCTTACCCCAATTTTAGGTCAATTCTTTAGTCAAATAATGTATCCATTGAGTTTACATTGGATATTCGCCAACATGCATAGTAGATTTGTTTTAATATTCAATTAATTTAACTGCATGATGTAGATGTTTATTTTAAATGTTTAATTTGACATTTACATTAAAAAAAAAAATGGTATAGCAAGTAAGCAAAGCAAAGCATTTGGTATAGCTCTTCTCTCAAGTGTAACTTTTGACTTCAAAATATGGTTAAATTCTAAAAATAATAATAATAATATGTACAATTTGCTAGATTAAAGGGGCAACATATCCTAACACTGACATTTACTTCTCCGATATGTTATTGTTCTCCTACAAAACGTAAGAGAACCGATTAGTATGTCTAGGTTGGAGAAACTTGTAGAGATTTAAAATATCAAAACAAATGTGGTTTGTTTTTGATTCATGTGACTAAGTAGATTGCATGAGAAAGCTTGGACATCTACAGCTATTTTACTGTTTAAGTATGTATACATTTGTTTGCATTCATTATCTCATTTTTATTAGGTGTCCCATAGTGCCTATTCACTACTGTCAGCCTTTGGGCTCTTAGCAGTTGTCCCTTGAATCCTTCATATTTGAGCTCAGAGCTGACGCAACAGGAGGCATGGGAATCATTAAGACTTAATGCAGCTTTCTGAATGGTCTTAAGCTCCAGGCAACTCATTTCAACAGCTGCCCATGCGATGAACAGATATTGAGTTCATGTGACAGTTGCATTGCATGAAAGCCTTTGTCTTGAATTAAAGGTTGATATTCCTATAGCGTTTCTCTCTCTCTGAATATATATATATATTTTTTTTTTTTGATGTAAAATCCATCAGTGACTGCCATTATAAATTAAAAACCAGGTCATGGGATTGTTGTGAACCTACGCGACTGATATAATAGAGGAAAAATGCAAAAGAACAGCTTCATTTGACAGTGAAGAGCTCTAAATGATTCAAATATTGCTTTTGTGAAATGTTACTTCTTAGGAATTGTGAAGGAGACTTGTTCAGAAAAACTAAATATTTCAATATTTTTCAATCCAAAAAGCAAAAACCTTAACAACATCTCTTTTCAGTTAAACTGAATTTGATCTGAAACTTTCGAGCAATGGTGGCCATTGGCGAGCAAGTGATGTAATGCTAAATTTCTCCAAATCTGTCCAGATAAATAAACAAACTCATCTACATTTTGGATGGCCTGAGGAGGAGTACATTTTCATTTTTGGATTTACTATTCCTTTAAGCATGAAATATTGAAGTAGAATGACTAACAGCAGTTTGTGCTTCCTGACTATGGCGGGCCTGAGGAGAGTGAGTCGCCCGCCGTGTGAGGAGAGTGAGTCGCCAGCTGAGGAGAGTGAGTCGCCCGCCGTGTGAGGAGAGTGAGTCGCCAGCTGAGGAGAGTGAGTCGCCCGCAGTGTGAGGAGAGTGAGTCGCCAGCTGAGGAGAGTAGCTCAGTAACTCAGTAGCTCCTGGCAATAGTATAGTGACTTCCCGCGACAAGTTATTAGTCTTATTTTTGGACCGGAAGGCCTGCACCTGACAATGGTTTGAATATGTAGTACATGCAGATTAAAAAGTGTTCAGTCATGAGTGAAATGACACACTATACACAATTACACTCTGAGATGGATGATTCAGATGCTGCTTTCTGATTTGTTGTTTTTGATTTTGTTTATCTGTTCATGATGGTTCACTGTTAGCCGCTCATACACGGTTAAGTTTGTCATTCTTCTTCGTTCCCAGCATCCCTGCCTCCATCATTCCTTGTTCTCTTCTGTCATCAGTTGCCATAGTGAAACAGAACAAGGATCCGTCTTTGTATGTGTGAAGTGTGCAGCTTGTAAAGGTGCAACACCTCAAACCGCAGCACAGACAGGTGTGCATGACAGACTGAATAGAGAGGAGAGGAATTGGCCTTCTCTAGGTTCTTTGTGATATTTTTACCCTGGTGGTGAGAGTCTTTTCATCTCGGCTCAGTGGAGGCTGTCAGACTCTTTACTGCCCCATGCAGATTTTGATCAGCCCTGAAACAGATCAGACACGTCTCTGGAAAGAGCCAGAATTGTTATTCACTGTTGTTCGTGTTCTCGCTGTAATCGTCAACATGCAACTTGTTAGACACTTTGTTGTGAAGGTTATGCAAATGACAGATCTGCTTTGTGAATTACTAAAAAGGACAATTTTTAGGGCCAAGGGCCATTAGACACGGTTGTGTACTGTATTTTCAGTGAATATTCAAACTTGATATGTTAACACATGTGTGAAATATAATATA